GCAGACTATTCTGTTGTAAATATATATTTAGGACAAGCGTTAATAAACTGAGAAGTGACAGAGCTTTTATTAATAAGTTTTATTACCTTTAAATAAAACTAACTACAGCAGATTTCTGTACAACAGAAGGTGATTCTGTGGCTCCTGCGTTGGTCTGTTGTTCTAATCACCTCACATGACAACAACAGAACGTATCTCCTGAAATTCGGTTCTGAATTTTGATGCCACTCGTGGACTTTCAGGATGTGCAATAAGCAAACAATTATTTTTACATAAAAGTAACTAGCAACATTGTATTTCATTGTGAAAATGCAGTGTGAATATTGAGTGCTGAAGAAACTGAAAAACTGAGCTGTTAAAACTTAAAAAGGCATAACACTAGCCAAAAGCTAAAAGTAGCAGGAGGCAGCTAAAGGCAGCAAAAGGCTAAAGCAGATATCATTGAGAACAATATTACTAAAGGATCAAAAGTACGAAAGTAAAAAGATATATATTTTAGTTGGTTGTGCACCGAAATGAAAATTTCAGCTGATATCAATATCCGATATTATTATTGACGTTATGGATGACAACCGATATTTACCAATATTACACAAACACTCTTGTGTTTTTTTTTCTCAACCCACTGACATGACTCTTTACTTCAGTTATTCCTGGCTGTGCAGCGTCACTAAAACTATCATGATCAAACAGACACCACTCAAACATCTCCCCTCCTGAGACACAAATGGCAACAAGCAAGAAATTAATACCAGACGTTAATATCAGTCCAGTTTTACTTACTGGACTGATGAGATGTGCTAAAAAATGACCAACATCATCTGATACTGATGTTAATGCTGAAATATTGTGCATCCCTATATGTTAGTACATGAATCACTAAAGTGACACAAAGTATTCAGTAGATTGTAAAAACATACAGAGGGTAAAACAGTAAAACAATGATGTGAACCTGGTCTGATGGCAGACACTGGGATGATTCGATGGCCGATAAACTTCCCTCCTTCCTCAAAAGCAGCGATTCTCAGAGAGGCCAGAGTTGGAAGGATGACCTGTAGGAGAGACGTGTCACTACTGGTGGACACTTTTACTTGCTTTGTTTCGGCTGCTCCTCACCTTCTTGAAGACGATGGGCTCTTCGTCCCACACTGGATTGATGGCGTTGTTATTTTGTGAGGTTTTAGTCTTCAGAGCTTTCCTCCTGGTGTCTACAGGAAGTCCAAACATCTCCACCTCCACGTACACCCCCACCCTCCGTTCTGTCAGAAACTGGCCAGAAATCACCTGAAGCAGAAAAAAAACAGGTGCAAATCAAAAACCTCACATTAAACAATCCATGTGAGCCACATGAGTTTTCTGGTGCTGAGAAATGAAGGTGAAGCTGTTTTGGTCAAATCTTGATAAAAACATTCTGAGTTGTGAATTAGTTACTCTGATCCTCAGTATCTGTGAAACTTTCTGTTTCTGTTCAGATGTACCTTCACAGAGAGCGTGTTGGCCACGATGCCGTCCACTGTGTTTTCTGTGAATGGGTCAAAGTGTTTGTCTGGACGCCTCATGAACTCGGGTTTCAGTCTGTAGCCGCTCCGACCGTTGTACTCGAACATGAACAGGTTCAGCTGCATGGAAAGATCTGAAACACAGTCTTCAGTTAGGAGACTACAGGGGAGGGGTCACAACTACAGGCTTTCCCACTTTTATGTAGCTTTCATTCAGCAGCTTCAGTGAACAAGGGTCAGCAGATGTTTCATTTTGAAACAGTATATCTCAAACCAGACTGATTGTGAATTAACTTGTAAGAATAAATTTAACTAAATACATATTTTTATTGCTACTCTCTGATTTCTCATATCTACAGTTTAGTACCAATAGTTTGGTAGTTGAGAGCCACCAGTTGACATCCAGCGTTCCAGAACAGCTGAGGCATAAAGTTTGACGAGTCCACTCTGGTTCCTTTGGGGTAAATACGACTCAGCTGGGATTTGTTATATCTGTGAACACATGGTGAAGGATTGTACAGATTCATCCTGTTCTTACAGACAGACCACAGAGTGTCTGAACTGTGCTTCAACTCCAAACAAAGAGAGAAATATGGATTGATCGTTCACAGTAATCCATCATCATCATCCATCCATCATCCATCCATCATCCATCCATCTGTCTGTTCATCCACCCATCCATCCATCATCATCCATCATCCATCCATCATCCATCTGTCTGTTCATCCATCCATCATCATCCATCCATCATCATCCATCATCCATCCATCTGTCTGTTCATCCATCCATCTGTCTGTTCATCCATCCAACATCATCCATCCATCCAACATCATCCATCCATCTATCCGTCGACCATTCATCATCCATTCATCATCCATCCATCATCCATCCATCCAACATCATCCATCCATCCAACATCATCCATCCATCTATCTATCTATCGACCATCCATCCATCCATTCATCATCCATCATCATCCATCCATCATCATCCATCCATCCATCCATCATCCATCCATCCAAAATCATCCATCCATCTATCCATCATCCATTCATCATCCATCATCCATTCATCCATCATTTATCCATCCATCCATCATCCATCCATCCAACATCATCCATCCATCCAACATCATCCATCACCCATTCATCAATCCATCAACCATCCATCATCATCCATCCATCATCCATCCATCATCATCCATCCATCATCCATCCATCAATCCATCCATCCATCCAACATCATCCATCATCCATTCATCAATCCATCATCCGTCCATCATCATCCATCCATCATCCATCCATCCATCCGTCCATCCATCATCAATCCATCCATCATCCATTCATCAATCCATCATCCATCAATTCATCCATCCATCCATCCATCCATCCATCCATCCATCCATCCATCCATCCATCCATCCATCCACTCTCCAGCTCCTCCTGATGGTATTCCAGTCCAGAGAGGACACATTGCTCATAATCCCTCCAGAAAGGTCTGGGTCTACTTTAGTGTCTCTTCTAGCTAGTTATATCTCACACCTCTAGAGGAAGGGTTCCAAGGAATATCCAATCAGATGCCTAGAACTACCTCAGCTAACTGCTTGTGATGTGGAGGACCAGTGGCCACTGGGTGGCAGAGCCCCTCACCTTGTCTTAAATACAGATATTTCTATGTCAGGTTGAGGACCATAGCCTGAGACTTAAAGTAGCTGACTTCACTCTCTTTTGTAAACATCAGTTCACTCTGAAGGTCTGAAGACAACAACAGACTATCATCATCTGCAAAAGCAGAGACAAGATCCTGAGGCTCCCACACCAAACACCTTCCTGTCCATGACTGCAGTTAGACTTCCAGTTCATGACCACATCAAACTGGATCAGAGGCTCCTGTAACAGATGTGATCTGAAACATCAGTGAACAAATGTATTTGCAGGCTGAATCACTGACAGAACAATATTACATTAAACACATGTTTAAACCCATATATATGGATGCAAGACATTGACTTAAGTTGAGGACTTTTCATTTCCATTATGTGTTTCTGAAGAGTTTTAAGAGCTGAAAACCAGTCTGCCTATGTGATCACAGGCTCTTTGTCCTGAATGGTGTGGGAACATTATACTGATCACATAGAAACACATCAGCCATAGACTCATGACCTTTAAAATGCCTTCAGAGCAGGCAGACACAAATACTGACAGAAATCGATTTAAAAGTTGCTCAGTGACTCACACTGATTTCTGACATTTATACAAAATAGAAGCATTCAGAGGAGGAAGAACAGAGTGAGGAAGTGGTTGCCATGGTGTTTTTGCATCTGTGGTATCTGTTGCCAAGGATACTCCACAAACTCCACTGGCGACTTGGTGAGGTGCTCCAAAGCTTTGGTCTCCACAAAAGACGACATGTGGTAACAGCGGGCTGCTTCTGCACACATCAACACACACATTTCTCAGCAGTTCTTTAGCTTACATCACTTCCACTTTCCCACTTCAAGAAAACTCTTCCTCTGATTACCTCACATCACTTCTGGACTCAGCTTAGCTTTAGTGAACAGCTAAAGTATGAAGGATAATCTAAATTTACAGTCAAATTCTCAGAATCATGACAATGCAGCAGGTTTCTGACTGGCGCCTCTTACTCTTTGATGCTTCGAAGGAGTTGAACTTGGTTGGCTGGACGTAGTTAACCAGAGTAGACATCTCCTCTGTGGCCACCGCCTCTCGCTCTGCAGAACCCTGAGATGAATCACAGCACAAACAGAATGAGCAGCTGAATGATGAAATGAGCTCAGAGCAAACATGTTCAGAGGGTTGACAACAAAAACACAGCTTCAGATGGAAAACAACAACAATGTGAACACAGAGGACCAATCCAACAACACATTCAGGCAGACGTTTGATGAACAAATCCATGAGTTAAGAGTTTAAAAAGGTAACTTTAGACCTTGTGCTTCTCATCTGAGGAACCTTCAAACTGAAGAGTGCAGAGCTCCAAGCTTTGAAACTTCAGTGAGCTGAAATCATGTATAAATCATGCTTTAGCCTGGTCCACATGATGTTTAAGTTCCATCATAAACTTATTATAGTACTCCACCAACCAGACCGCCTCTTCTTGTAGCTGGAAACTGAAGGATCCATTACAGACTGTTTTAGAACCAACTGGTTTTGTTTTGTGGAGCTTTAAGTCCCATCTACACAGTCATAGTAACACACAAACTTTCTTTTAACCTTCATACTGCGCCTGGATCAAAGTGACCAGCGAGGCTGTATGGGACATTAGGTTAGGCAAATACCAATTAAGGGTGCAACAATACATGTACCCGTATCAAACCGTTCAATGCACACTATGTATCGAACAATACAGTTTTTTTAAATTATTTGATCAACTTGTCTTCTGAAGATGCTCTGTGTTAAAGGATCAGTGGATCTGTGTTCGACTACTCCACCTAGGCTGCATTTTTGAGTGCAGATCCACCAAGAAACTTGCTGTTTTAGCAACATTTAATTTAAAAACTGTACTTTTGAGGTTAAACAAATGTTTATAATTAATTTTAATAAATTACAAGTTAAGATGGGCACGGACATTCCTCTTTGTATCAAAAAAAAATCGAACCATGAGTCTTAAGTATCGAACCGAAACGAATCATGAATTTTCTGTATCGTTGCACCCCAATACCAATGTGTGAAAATTTATACCTAGAGCAACTAAGTAAGAATGACTTTAATCAACACCTGTAAAAAAATTACCCTTCGTGTATTTGTATCTATTTGTTTTTTTTTTTTTTACCAGCAGTAATGTTTGTTTGTTTACACGGAGAAGTGAGATTTAAAGCCTGTTTTTTTCTGGCTTCTCCTTGCAAGGCTAAACTTCAGGTTACATGAAACTGGCTGCTGTGGAATCTTTTGAGGCTGTAACTGTTGGAGACCAGCTGGTCTCAAAATTGTGAAAAAATATCAGAGTTTTAGTTCCAGTCTCTCTGAACTCTGAGTGTTTGTTACTGAGTGACCATGGAGCTGTGTGACTGCATCTTATGCAGACAAGTTGGAAAATCATTGCTTATTTTCATTGTCTGGAATATTTTGTTGCCCACAGCAGACCCACCTCCATGTCTTTGATTTAATTTGCTGGAGTACACTTTTAAAATGAAGACAGGAAGATTTGGATCTGTTTTTAAATTATAATAATTGATCATGGATGTGGAAAACCAGGCGATGTTCCATGTCCCTAGAGTCAGTCTATGCCACCAGGAACCAGAATGACCAGGGACCCTCCATTGACTGCTGCCCAATATGCATCGCACCCGACCTTGGTGGTCCTCCCAGCAGTAGGTGGGTTCACATTGAAGTGACTTCTTGTTATTCTTTAGGCTTGATCCGGCACAGCCCCAGGAGCCAAGGCTCGACCACCAGGTGCTCAGAGGTAGGTGAACCCCACTGGCCTGGCTCCAGGGAGGTGCCCCGGTTTCCTTTGTTCTCTGAGACAGGGGATTCTGATGTTATCAGTCCATGAAATGGACGTTATCAGGCGTTATCAGTCCCATACAATGGCTTCAGAGGGTCCCTACTGTGCCTTCTAGGCTTCAGGCTGTCCCGACAGTGCCCCCTAGTGGGTTAATATATAAATGCTCAGCTTTAGAGATAGGGTGAGGAGCTCCATCATCCAGGGGGGAGCTCAGAGTAGAGTCGCTGCTCCTCCACATCGAAAGGAGTCAGTTGAGGTGGTTCATCTGATTAGGATGCCTCCTGGACGCCTCCCTTTAGAGGTGTTCCCTCCCACTGGTAGGAGACTCCGGGAAGACCCAGGACTCTCTGAAGGGATCCTCTCTGATCTGGGAACACCTGAGGGTCCTCCAGGACGAGCTGGAAAGTGTCACTGGGGAGAGGGAGGTCTGGGTTTCTGTCCTGGACCTGTTGCCTCAGTGACCTGACTGTGGATAAGCTTCAGAAGATGGAGATGGTGTTTAACCTGATCATTTGGACTGGTTTAAAGTCCAAAGTCAGGTTTAAAATGGCTCCAACAACTTAAGTTAAGACATAAATAGACAAGTTCACTGCAGTTTTAGAGCTCAGCTCTTCTGTTTGAAGTGGAGGAGAAACAAAGTGTCTTCAACAAACAAATAAAAAATAAACTCAAGATTAAGGACTAAAAACTGAGAATCTACACCAATAAACTGACGGGAAAACACATCTTATCTTAAACCATTTCTATCACCTGCTGTCCAAAGACAGAAGATGGGTGATAATGATTTTACCTCTTGAATAAAGGATGATTACAACCATCTTAACAAAAGATGATCTTAGAATAAAAATCTTTTATGAAAGGTGGGGAGAATATTTTTAGTTTCATTGAGTTTATTCATGTATATAATTCATAGTTTTAAAACTTCTTCTCTGACATGAATTATTTTGTCCACATCTTTGTGCGATTTATGTCATGAGATCATTAATCCAGACTATTTTAGTGGATTCTCAATAATCCAGGACCAGGACAATCCTAAGTTTCAAAAACAAGACAGAGTAGCTTGACTTTGTTTCTGTGAGCAGACCAGCACAAACTCTTTTTTTGTGATTAATGAAGTTCATAATGAGATTATCTTGACATTAAAAACTAGAATGTTAATTTATTAAAAGGCTGTGCTTAAACTGACTGAAATATTAAATGATAACTTTAAAATGGTTCAGTTGATTGTTTAATGTGGTTAATGTTAAAGACATGTTTTATTGTGAAAGGCTTGTTTGAGAAAGTGATGTTGAAATTTCTAGATATCTTGTCATTCATTGGTCACAGTGGTAAGAAAATGAAAAAAGGAAATGTGAAAAGTTTTATTTTTTAAAAGAAACATTTGTGTAATGATAAGCCTAGAAAAGAAAGAAAAGCAAAAAGAGGCTTTTATTAACAAACCTGTATAAAGTCACTTCTCTGTTTTGCTTTTTCTTCCATTTGTTTTTAATGATTTTGTTTAATTTTTTTCTGTGGCCCTCACTTCTCACATCTGATTTTTTTATATTGTTTGAACAAAGTATTTGCTTTATATTTTAGTATCTGGACACCATTTCCTTGTAATTCTAATCATTTTGTTTACCATAACCAGAAGTGTTGTTTATTTGTAAATAACCTCCTGAAGTAAAGTTTTCCTTTAAGTTTCTTTCATGTGAAAATCAGAGTCCAGCCTAAGAGCTAAGACTAACTTTTGATTTTATAAATAGATATACAGCTACATCAGTAAGGTTGGTAAGACTGACTCCCATGGTTAGAGGTCCTTTTAATGTAATTTTATTTTTATGTATTTTTACTCTTTTATTGTTGTTGTGGTTGATTAATTCTTTTTTATCTGATTTGGACTTTGAGTCTGCAATAAAACCTATCTACCTATAATTGTTTGTATTTATTTTCACTACATGTAAAAATCATATTAATATTATTTTCAAAAGATATAGGGATGCTGAGTGTCTGACTATTATTATTATTTTAGCTTGTTTTTTTTTCAATATGTATAGAGATGTTTGGGGTTGTGTATATTTGTGAGTACAGGTGTGTCTGTATGCATATTCTAGTATGTATATTTTTTTGTACGTGTTATATAATTTAGTAGGTGCATTGATTGTTTATTTTGATCTTAATGATTGAAATCAATCTTAAATCACTATCTTAAAATTGTGATTTAGAAAAAGGAAACAAAATTTATTATTTTTTATTATATAAGCTTTGGAGAAGGGTGGGATTAAATAGGTTTTTACTTCTACCTGTTCCTTTTCAAATATGTTAATTTTATTATCTTATAAAAAAAATTTGTTTTGTTTTCCGTACATGTTTGAAATAAATTAAACTAAACTATTTTGTGTCTCCAGGCTGAACAACAACACTACAGAGTGGCAGAGCTCTGGAGCTTCCTGCTGGCATCAGATTAATGTTATATAACAGCTGAAATATTAAAGGAAAATCTACATTTAATACTTTGAGTTGGACAGATGTGTTGAGGTAAACACAAGCTGTGGAATCAAGGAGTTTCTGGTTTCATGTGTCTGTCATGCAACAGCAAACATGAAGGACTGATAAACAGCTTAAAATCGTTTTTTTTTTTAAATAAAACTTTAAAATAAAACTCAACTCCAAACACAAACACAATGAAACAACCGGATCAGTAACAAACCAAAACAAGTTGAGACATGAGCGAACATGAAGCACGTTTCAGTTCACGGCCAGAAGCAGCAAATGTTCACGACGAGATCAGCAGAGACAACATGTAGCAGAAACCAACGGAGCTGTGAAAACACACATCATGTGTGAACAGTAACAAGAGACGACAGCAGTGAGGGGGACTCTGTCATCACTGACCTTTTTACCATCATCATCTTCATCATCATCCTCCTCCTCACTCTCAGCCTCCATCTCTGTTCAGATTAAATAAGTCTGAATTATCTTCTTATCATTTGTAGGTTTATTAGAAGGAGCTGAATTAAACCTGACTCTGGCTTTAGCTGAGAGTGAAGACACGTAAGAACCGCCACAAATAAAATATTTCCACAGTGTTTGCTTTACAGGGTGGGGTTATGTGGAGTACTTCTGAGCAATCAGAATCTTACCTGCAGCAGACAGCAGTGATCTCAGTTTAGACAATTCTAGTAGAAGTTTGAGGATATTTGCTGCTCATTCAGTTTCTGTCAAACTAAATAACTTAAACATTTTATAACTGAAGAAATTTATTGGAGTTTGTTTACTTAGTGATTTTTAAAAGCATCTCACATTTTGTAGTTTTTTCTTAAATTAATAGGGATATATATTTTATAAACTACTGTGTGATTATTTTTGTGATTCAAATGATGATTTTATGTACGGACTGGTCTAGGTGGTTTTTACAAATGCTTACACAGAGCAGTACATATATGTAGATACATAACCTGAAAACATTTACAACATGTAAATATTTTACATTAGAACTCAGTTTTCTCTGTTGAAGGTTTCTGTCTCTTGATAGGGAGAACCATCTTGCCTGTAGGGAGTGGTCAGAACCTGAAGGAGTTGATAAGATGCTGAAACTTCCTGCCTGAGGGATTCCACGACTCATTCAATGGCCGAGGCTATTAGCTGATGGGTAGTCTGTATGGCTTCAGTTCTTACATTAACATGAATTTGTTGTCTTGTCCTTACACACATCTGAGTAACTGAACATGTTATATTTTACAACATTTTGAGCGATCATCATTATCAGGGATTTATTTATCTGATGTTTGAGGCCTTTTTAATTAGAGTAACACTCAGCAGCTGCAGGCTGTAAACTTGCTGCTCCAGCTGTGTGGTTGCACATCTGGAACTGGCTGCTGTGTTTGACGGACAATAACACTCCAAGAGAAACCCTATTGTTGTTCGGCAGGAAGCTACTCCCCTCACGCCATGCCACTGTGGGGCTCTGACAGAAACACAGCAACCATGTAACGTTTGATTTGTGTTGTTACAACTTTCTGACAATCAGACAGGTGGAAGCTTTCAGTTGATGAAGGAGAAGAATGCTTCTTATTTCAAGATGCCAGCCATCACTCATGGGCTCGACACACGGGAGGCGGCATCGCTCTCTCTCCATTCATTTCCTATAGAGCTTGTGTGATTGAGGCGACAATCACTTGCCCTCCTCCAGCCAAGCGACCAACAAAAATTGTCCACATTAAATTTCATGTTCATACATTTAGATATGCACGCGCGAGGTTGTGATGTGTGATGTGTGAAAGTTGGAAAATATTCAACATTTGTCACTGTCGCATGGCATTACAACCAAGCAGCGAGGGTTTCGTTGACTAACCAATGAGAGGAGAGCATGCTACACACTGCAGTTAGCTAACACTCTGTCAAACTTTCCAGTTTTATATGACCCTTCACCAAGTGATTACTAAGATACACATAAAAAGGCAGCTTCATGGGAATTTGTTGGCACCAGGGTTAAGTTGTCCGGTAAGTTTTTCCCTATAAAGTTGTATCTTGGTGTGTGTTTTGTAAATATCATTAGCATGCATGGAATCTGCCGCTCTGAGAGTGTACAGACTCAGATACTGGGGGAGATAAGTCACAAACTGGATGTGGTTCTGACGAGAATCGCAGCACAGAAGCGTGCCTCTGGCATGTAGGAGGATTACATCTGGGTGATGCTTCAAACGGTGAGAGGTGAGGAGGACACAAAATTCGGAACTTTTTTTGCCATTTTCAGAGATGCAGTAAAGACTGTAAAGCAGCAAGAAAAATTCAAGGCCGCTTGTCCCAAAACAATTGTGTTTATCTTTTCAGATCCCAGCTGCTGGCCTTCGGTTGGCATGTGTTTGGACACACACACACACACACACACACACACACACACACACACACACACACACACACACACACACACACACACACACACACACACACACACACACACACAGTCTGAAGGCCGTGAGGAGGAAGTGGAAACTCTGAACTCTGAACTGAGCATGAGATGAATAAGATCTGTCTCTGGACTCTGGCGGGCCTTGGATCAGTTCCAGCACAGAGAATTAACCTAAAACGTCATCGGCTCCACTGAACCCTGCCCAAGTCTCATGTGTTTGACCCCAAGCCCCCCCCCCACACACACACACACATCCCAGTTGCCTTGCTCCAGCGAGTCATTTTTTTGTGCATATGATTCTGTGTTTATGAATAAATATAGGATCAGAGCAACGTTTTAAAAATCATCTCCCCTATTGTGTTTTTCCAACCTGCAAAAATGTAGACATTACAACTGTGTTGCGCAAGACCTGTTCATCCGTTCCCCCATGTTTGTCATGTGTGTCTTTCTTTTGAACGGGTGTTCTTTAAATGCAATTTTATTCTGCATTGCATCTCTGATGTTGTGTGTGAATGACAATAAAGCTGATTCTGATTCATTGCAAGATTTGTTTAGTTTACATGTCATTTTTTGCCAATCAGTCACCAATAAATTTTACAAGAAGCAGTAGATGAACCAATCAAATTTCTTGAAGACAAGGGATATAGGATAAATCTTGTGCCAGCAGGAATTGAATTTGAATTGCTCAGATTGAATCTGAATGTGCATAATTTGAAATTGAATGCATTGGTTTCAAAATGAATTTTACTAAATTAAAACTGAATTTGATGGTTTGAAACTGAATTTAAAGTTTTGTAGCTGAATTAATTTTGCTTTGAAACTTTGTTTTGGTTTATTAAAAATTCAGTTTGACTACTTTCACTTTCAGTTCCATAATTCAGATTTTTGTGTCACATCCTGGTCCTTGAGAAAGCCAGGCAGAGTAATCAAACACAGATCTACAGATTTACGTTTCACTTTGGTGAAGTTTCCCTTCTGTATGTAACTGAGTTGATGCAATCCACTGTAAAAGTGACAAAAACAGACAAAGTTATTTTATTGCAGTGATTAATTTGACCTATATGTAGAAAATGTTACATTTACTTCACATCATGGATCAGATATTGATCAGATGCTGCTGCTGACTGATCCGTGATGTGATGTAAATGTAGCATTTTCTACATTTAGGTCAAATTAATCACTGCAATAAAATAACTTTGTCTGTTTTTGTCACTTTTACAGTGGATTMCATCAACTCTGTTACATACAGAAGGGAAACTTCACCAAAGTGAAACATAAATCTGTGGATCTGTGTTTGATTACTCTGCCTGGCTTTCTCAAGGACCAGGATGTGACACAAAAATCTGAATTATGGAACTGAAAGTGAAAGTAGTCAAACTGAATTTTTAATAAACCAAAATACAGTTTCAAAGCAAATTAATTCAAATTCAAAACTTTAAATTGAGTTTCAAACCATTAAATTCAGTTTCAAGTTAGTGAAATTTATTTTCAAACCAATGCATTCAATTTCAAATTATGCACATTCAGATTCAATCTGAATAATTCAAATTCAATTCCTGCTGGCACAAGATTTATCCCATAATGGGACCCGAGAGCACGATTTGCAGCGCTGACGTCACTATCACGTCGCCGTGTGTTGGTTTCCATCCAGGTTGAGATTTCAGCCATTAAACAATGTTGTTTGTCGCTCCCCGTGTGTGAAGCCCATTAGACATTCAGCCCCCTCACACACACACACACACACGCACGCACGCACACACACACACACACACACACACACACAGCATGCTGGCCTCTAATCAGGAGGGATTAGAGGATTCTTTGCAAACATTAAATCTTAAAAGCAAAAGTTAGCACCCAGCAGCTAATACTCCCTCCATGAACGAAGACACACTGCTACCTGAGCAGCTCATTTTGGTCACATCTTCTCTTCACATTTCTGTCCAGAAGCACAACAGATGACTGAAACTCCTGGGAAAATAAAGTTCTGCTCAGACCTCATATTGAGAACAGGCTCTCTAAGCTGCGAGAAGAAAACATCATTTTCATCTTGTAAATATTCTAGTGTGAGCAGATTCCCTCACTTCAGGGTCAACAGGAGGCAGCAGCCTCAGAGTGGCTTCTAACGTTCAACTCCTGAAGGAAGCATGGAAACACTGAGCGTGTGCAGAGTTTGAGTTTCACACAACATCGAGGCGCAGGCAGAACAAGCTGATGTTAAGGTGAATTCAACTCTTTGTGTTGTTTTTCTAAATATCATGTTATGCCATTTAAACACATTTTAAAATGTATGTTTAAGGTGGGCCTTGTTTTTGTAGGTCAGCTAGCTCCTGATGCAGGACGTGCATGTCGAGTCGTTACATTCAGTGTTAGCACAGCATTCTTCACCACTGGTAGAAGTTATTATAATTACTAATCATCAGGGTGGAGTTTACACCGGATCTGTTTCTACGTGTCAAAACACAGCTGCAACAACTCTGCTAATGTTTGGAGAGAATATTTGTTGCACACAGTTTTTTGAACATATTTAAATTCAAAGTGAAAGTTGTGAGACATCTACGCTCCCTTCTGTAGTTTGTTCACAATCTAACATCCAAGAGCTCATAGACTGACAGATGCTCTCATTAGCAGATGGCTAGCTTAGCGATGCAGATGTTGTTCAGCTGTGAAAATAGTAACAATGGAAACAACAGTGTCAGGAAAATACCAAACATCCACGTGCACTGCTTTGTGTTTGACTTGATTAGACTGAAGAAATCAAATCTTGAATGTTTTCTGCTCTGAGTCGACTTTAGCTCGACCTTCAGATTAAAATCTGCTGCAAGTAAGATATTGACTGTTCCACATAACCCTATTTTGTGGGAACCTGAGCTGGAGTTTGAACAGGAGTGAACATGAAGCTTTGAGTCAAAGGCAGAAAAAAGATTTAATGGGAGAGACTAGAAAGTCACGCTATAAATATTTAACAAAAACAATAAACCAAATGAAGTTAGTGTCTAACAGTGGTGGGCAGCGCTAATATAAAGTTTAGTTGCACAATTTCTGAAGCACAAACTAACTTATTTAGGTACGCAAGTTCAAAAGAACATATGCTCAAATAAATTTAGCAGAAGCTAAAAATAAAGAACAAGTTTGTCTTCATTTAATAAAAACATTCTGATTTAAGACAAATCCCTTTTCTTTCAGAGCTTGGCGCATGCCATTGCAGTATGGGGAGGTGATTCATCGAAACAGATTTTTAAATCATGGTGTTAAAACAAAAAATAGTTGTGGATTGCCAGTTCTGCTGCTTCTTGGTCATTTTCTTATGTTTATGGCAGAGCTTTCGTAATTTTAAACTGTTTATTGTAAAACTGAAGTGATGCATTCTGGGTAGGCTACAGGACAAAGGACCAGAAACCTGTTCTTTTCAAAATAAGAGCGTGAATTTAAACTGTTCTGTGTTTCTTTCTTTATTATTATGATTTGTTTAATATTTATTGCTGCAGTGTCCCTCTGAGAGGAGGAACAAACTGCACAGCTGAGTGTGGTTCTGCAGATCAGAACTGCAGGTGGATTGTCGCCCAGTGAAGTAGCTCCAACTGCTTCCTGCCACACAAAGAATTGTGGGAACACTACAGTCTCTAAGTTTTAATGAATTATGTGGCTGCAAAACATAATGACTTTAGATGGCTCTTTCTCTTTACTTTAGACAAAATTGATGATCAAATGAGAAACATTATTTGCGATTAGCGCTAATTATTTCTTAATTTATAAAGTGCGTTTAAAGAAATTAGTAAAACCCCTAAAGCGCAAAGGTGATATTAGCGCTTTAGGGGACGAGTGCCCACCACTGGTGTCTACAAATCTCCAAATCAGATTAGAGGCTGTCAGATATGTAAACAAGTTTCTACTTTAATGTTTAAAACTGTACAAAGCTCTGTGCTTCAGCACAAACACCAGTCTGCTGAGAAAACAACCCCCTCTCCCAGTTTAACTGATGCTCAGAGCTTTTCATGTCATCTGGGATGTCTGGCTCATTCCAGGCAGATGAATGTGAAAACATCTCAGCGTCACTTTGACTGAAACGAAGATAAATAATTATTCTGAGAGGTGACTTCAGTCAGACGATTCTGTGAAAGTATTTTAACTGAATGTCAGAGCGTCAGTGATGAAGGGCAGCCTGCAGGAACATCATCATCCAATCGTTTCCAGACGACAGTGACTCATGTTTGTGAGTCTGCTGCATGTAAAACCATATCAGACATTTTCATTCCTGTGGCTTTAGCTTGTCAGCCTTCTGCAGCTGCTCCGACACCTCACAGAATAAATGAACGTCCGTTTTGTCTTTTGATTGTCACAGCTGAGTGCATTTCCTTTGTCTTTATGTCATACCTCCTGTGTTGTTGCTAGGAGACACCAGCTCGTTGCTCTGATTGGCAGGTTGGTCAATTAGTCTCTTGGTGTCCGTGTTATTGGAGGGTTTGTGGGATTTCTTATTCTTGATGAGAATTTTTCCCATCAGCTCCTGAGGACTGGGCAGAGGGACTCCATGTTCCAGCTGCAAACAAACAGCAACATTTTAACCCCCGGCTGATAGCTCCGCCCACATTTAAATCCCCTCGGCCTGTTTTTCTGCTGTTCTTACAGGATATTTGTCCAGAGGGTCGATCAGCAGCGCCTCTCCAAAGATGGTTCGACAGTATTCAGCCATTTTAGCCTGCTGCTTCAAACTGAGAGACAAACAAAGAGCTAAAGAATTAACCACAGTGTTTATGGAGAATTCGTTTTTTAACTGAAAAGTTCAAGTTGACAGAAGAGAAGCTCAGAACAATCAGAGCTAAAAGCTACAAGCAGCAAAACTATTTGGCTAAAAGCAGCAGAACGGTAGCTAAAACTAAAATATGAAAAATAGCTTCATGTTGGCTTCATCGGAACGAGATCTGCAGCTCTCGCTGGAGCGGTTCGCGGCCGAGTGTGAAGCGGCCGGGATGAGGCTCAGTGCCTCCAAATCCGAGGC